TGTCAACAAGCGTGGAGATGTCCCTGAATGATCAGAAACTGTAACCTTTTTTTTAATGGGATATTTAAATGTAAGAGAAATAGGTGTAGGCAAAGAAGTAGGAGTTTTTGGTTAAACACTTCTACCGAGGGTGGGACATTTTTTTTCAACTCATGATTTTCTATAGATTTCCGGTCAACAGAATATTCCGTTATATTTTCGGGATTATTTGGGTTTTCCAAAATTTCCACAGCTGCCTTACTAGGAATATCAGGCCGAACATCTGTCTCTGGATACTGCAACCAACAACAATGGTTTCAAGTGATCAGCATCATGCATGAACATATCGCACTCTTCCCTCTGGAGTCATCATAATTGATGACTAAGAATTAATTCCAACTGTCTTTAACACCTTTGCTGTAATCCACTTCCTAAGCTGTCGGATGAAACATATTCAAAAATGTCATTCTGCATATCCTTCTTAATTTTTAGTACCGACTTATATAACTCATCCTGTAAAAATTCCTTCTTTAATGAGTTTTTAACCGTCGAAACTGATTTTTCCTCACTTCCGTTCGATTCCGGGTGATAAGGTGGGGTGTTGACTACTTGTATTCCATTGGATCTACAATACTTATGAAATTATTCGCTATTGAAAGGGGGTCCATTGTCCGCCACTAAAACTTCAGGAAGACCAAACATACTAAAAACTTTACGAAGTCTCGTTATCGTTTGCTGAGCCTTTGTTCCTTTCATTCGAAAAATCTCTAACCATTATGAAGTACTATCTATCACCAAAGGCAACGTGAATTCTCGAAAAAAAATTTCTCGCTCTTGGTCTAAGTTGATATGTTGACATTCCTTCCACGATTACTTAGAATTTGACATGGTTGACATTGATTAACTAAACGCTCTATATTATCATTGATGTTTGACCACCAAAAGTCACTTCTAGTTATTAACTTCATTCTTACCAATCCAGGACTCTCATGTAACATATCCAACAATTTGTCTCTCAAAGATTCTGGCACAATAACTCGATTTCCTCAGGTTAAACATTCACATTCAACGCTTAACTCATTTCTTCGTTGAAAATAAGCCTTTAATTGCAGTAAGACCATCCATGTTTAACATGGTCAATAACTTTATTTAAACATTTATCTTTATTTGTCTCTATACAAATCAACTCGGCTGTGATGGGTAAGTTATCTTCATATGTGAAAGCAAAAACTTGCTCCTCTAGTTTACATCCTTCAAATATCTCGGACAGTGGCATTCTTGATAGACAATCAAGATTAGACATCTCACTAGCCTTCTTGTATTTAATCTCATAGTTATATGCAGATAACGTAACAGTCCATCTTTGTATCCTAGTATGAGCTAATGTAAGCAACCTATGTTTTTCCCCAAAAATGGTTTTCAATGGCTGGTGATTTGAGAATATTATAAATTTCCTCCCATACAAAAATTTGTGAAATTTTCGAACTGCAAATACGACTGCATACACTTCTCTCTGCACTTGAGCATAATTTCTTTCTATTGGAGACAATGTACAAGATGCAAACTGAATTGGTTTACAAACTCCATCTTCTACTAAGCTCAAAATCACTGCCAAATCATATAGGGTTTAGCGCCTGCAGCACCTATTAGCTCTTTGTCAGGATCATAATGTATTAAAGTAACACAATGATTTATCATCTCTTTACACTTTTAAATGCTGCCTGTTGAGACTTTCCCCATTTAAATGGTTGACTTTTTCTTAACAAATCATTCAGTGGACTTAGAGTATCTGAACAGTGAGGTAAAAATTTGGAATAAAAATTCAACAGACCAAGAAAACTTTTGAGTTGGGTTAAATTAGTAGGGACAGAAGCATCAATGATTTATTTTACTTTTGATTTTAAAGGTTTTATACCTTGTTTATTCAAGGTATGACCTAAAAACTCTGACTGAAAGAATTTACTTTTGTCTAAGTTTAACTTGATGTTGTATTTTTCAAATCATTGCAAGACTATGGGTGGTATGAATAAAAACGAAGTACTTGCTACTACTACAAGTATTAGTATATTCTTCGCAGTATTTACTTCACAAAGAAGCATTTACTAATTTCCGGTAGTTTCGAAATGTAGTATCTACTTCGTTTTAAAGTAAATACTACGTAGAACATACTTGTAGTAGTAGCAAGTACTTCGTTTTTATTCATACCACCCTATATCTACATTCTTAATGCATTGTGATTTATTTTTTCCCGAAATTACAAAAATCATCCAGATAAACTCCCACAAACTCTAGACCTTTCACAAAATTTCCTCCATAGTTGACTAAAATATAGCTGGCTACTTATTATCTCATAGGTCAGTCTAGTATATTTGAATAATCCAATATGAGTGTTGTGATTGTTAGTAACTCTTGACTTTGCTTATTAACTGACAACTGAAGATAAGCATTGGAGAGATCCAATACACTAAACATACAACCACCCGATATTGAGAAAAACAAGTTATCTAGAATTGGAAAGGGGTAGTGATCCATTTTTAAAATTGGATTAACAGTTTTCTTAAAATCGCCACAAATTCTGATGCTATTGTTTTTCTTTGGCACCACAACTATAGGACTAGCTATATCAGCATGACTAACAGGAATTAAAATACCCTCTTACACTAAACTTTCTAGTTTTTGTTTTACTTTTTCTCGTAAAGAATAGGGCACAGAATAAGCCTTATGAAAAATCTTGTTTGAATTTTCTTTAACTACCAAATTATCTTCAAAACCTATAATATGAGTTTTTCTATCATTATTAAAAACATTTGGATAAGACTTCTCAAATTTTTTTAATGTAGTCTAGATTTCCATATGACTTAGAATAGAATTCGACTCATTCCTTGACAAATTTAGACTATTTAAGGAACTTTTGACTGATAATGGTTTAATTTTTGACATAACCTGACATCCTTTATGCACAAGTGACTCATTCTGATATTCAAGGACATTTCTCCCGATACCTTGGTTTAAACTTACCGACTGACTCCTTGACTTAATATCAGACACCTGAATATCGCTTATTTTTGATTGGCTCTGACAAGCTGACTCAGTTTCAGGTCGGAATTGACCGACCATGACTAATATTAGTGACATTTGGAATTGAACTAAAACTTACAATTATAATTTTTTTTCTTTGCCTTAGATTCTAAGCTAAAATTTTGGACATTTTGACTGAAATTAAGCATTGATCTCCAAGCTGGCTTAAGCTTGTCTAACCAATTTCTACCCAATAATGGTTTAAAAGATTTACCAGCTAGTGGTAAAAAATCAATATTTTCATTACTTGACTTGACTTTGACAATCATTTGACCCCTGACTAACAATTTATCCCCTGATACAGTATGTATTGATTAATTGCTAGTAGATAATGCTAAATGACCAAAATACTTTTCATAATCTTGTTGAGAAATCACACTTACACTGGCTCCTGTGTCGATTTCCATCTTAATGTTTTCGACACTGACCTGAACGACTACACATTCACTTGAAATTCTATTTATTGTCACATATTTCTTCGAGATTCAAATTAGAACATTGCTCATCATATTCCTCTTCAGACTCTAAATTTTCTTCACCTTCAGCATATTTGACTCCTCTGGACCTCTGTCTGCAACACCTGGATGTGTGACCTTTAAGTTTACATACAAATATTACCAGTTTTTTGCAGGACATGTATCCGGATTGTGCTGTCTTACAAACCGAAAACAACCACTTTGTGCTTGATGACTGGAACCAAAACATTCCAGTTTACTTTATTTGGTTTTGACTGTTTGGCTTGTACTTGGACGCTGACTGAACTTTGGTTGCTTTTTTTCACTGCTGACGCATGCTTTGTGACTCGACTTGATGGACACTACTTTGTGGAAAGACTAATTTTGATTATATAGTTGACATTTCATAATTTAGTGCCTCTTTACAAGCTTCTTCAAATTTTAATGAATTGTCCTTCGGCAATAATCTCTGATGGGCCCACTCATGCTGTAAATTGACCTATATGAAGTTTACAGGCATTCTTTGTTCGCCTCCTCCTGCCCCCGATGCAGGTCCATCTCCTGTTCCTGTTCGGTTTCTTGAGAAGTGGCGTTTATGGGTTCCCTGACATCTGGCAAGTTCATATTCTGTTCCTGCTCAGGTTCCTGATGTTCTGGGGTTTTCTTTTCTGGCTTATATTCCTTGAGGTATAATATCGTTTTTGAATGTTCGGAAATATGTAGTTTCCCTCTCGGATTTTTCTAGAGAACCACCTGAGAGCTTCCCCGTCCAAGGAAAGACTGAGGAAACAATGAGAGGTTTTTAGAAAGTTTTTGGAAATCCACTAAAGTACGAAGAAATTCAAATGGAAATCGGGATTTAATTAACCGTGCATGACATCCAGAATCCAAGAAAGTCTGGAATAAAGTTATTTAATGGAGGAACTTGAGCAGAAGTATGACAATTTACAATTAACACAAAATTAAAATGTTTTTTTTTTTTTTTTTTCTCAATTAATCTAAGTAACGCTCCGCTTTGGTTCTAAAAACACTAACGTGGTCGCGATAAAATCGAGTTAATAGAAACATCAAAAGCCTGGTGTACTGAAGTACGAAAAAAGAAAACACAAACGAAAAACATTATTACAGGAACAAGAGAAACGCCATGCCAGGCGAAATTATTCGAAAAAGGATTTGTTTCCCTGGCTTTACGTAATTATACATATAGTATTTGGTTCACGGTAGAGCGGTCGCATTACAATATAAAGCATATTTACATTTCGTACGGAGTGAGGCTGGTGTAAAAAAGCTCCTAAAACGTTTAAACTATTTAGTAGACTAATTTTATGCCGCGTACTTTTTTATCTTTGTGCCCGTGGCGGAACACAAAGGCCGCGAAGAAACAATACGTTAACTCGCATATATTATAAATTCTCCGGAATGATCAGAATTTTTCGCCGGATATTAACGTTTTAAAGCGGAATGGATGGTTGATCTAGATAGGCATACATTATAGAGTTCTTTATTATCTTTTTGTTTCAGAATCGTTTTCATTGTTGTAATACACACACATTAATCTAAGTACTCAATTTGAAAATTCATGCCTAAATTGCGTTTCTCATGAAATCGTGAAAATCGCGCGCGAAAAACACATAATCCCTCAGGAACGGTAGAAACTTGCTCCACTTCCAATTTCGGTAATATGTATATTTTCCACGAAACATTTTACTTAATGGCGGTAATTTTAAATTTAATATTCGAGATGGTTTTCTATTTTTATTTTACCGACGTAGACGTGTGAGTAAAGGCGGCCACCGTTCACGGAACCGCAAAACTTTTTATGACGAAATAAACGAAAAATTGCGAATTAATGTTTAAGGCAAGATAGGGAGGAAGGTATAGGTAATGCCGATACTCGCACTGCACCCCCAACATTTACATAATCGAAAATACCATTAGCGGCACGAGATACTATAAAATTTTATCAATATGAGACGTTCTCCCGAGTTTACATTCGACAATAATAAAATTTATATAGGTATCTACCAACATTACATTTAAAATAAAATTTGAAAGAATCATACGGCTGTCGAACAACGGACGCTGTTGCATCTGGGTGGCCCCGTTCAACTTGCAACCCAACTTTGTGACCCACGTGACAGCCCGCATGATTGTAATATTTTCTCTTCTACAGCGAAGAACGAATCACGATTTATTATTTTTACTTTTTCGGTTATTAAAGTAGATCGTTATATTACATCATCATTGAACTTGTGCAACCAACCTAAACATTATTAGATGAATAATATTCAAGCTGAATCTGAACTCCTGGACTGCACAGGGCTTCACTTGAAATTGTCATGAAAGCGGAAATGTGAAAATGCCACTTATTTTCACCATGATTGTTTTTTTGTGTTTTATTGTTGATAACTAACCGAAAGATGGTTCAATGATTCAATTAAAAATGCTTCATGAACGTTACTTACATGTCCGCCCCAATACACAATACATTATTTGACATGTACACACGTTGAAATAACACATAAATAATTAATAATTACTACAAAATAATTATGCAAAACATTTATAATTATATGTCCATATAGAATACAATTAATCGTAAATTATTGAGCCCACCATTCTATATTATTTTAATTGCATCAATTTTAATGCATTAACTTTTGCGGTAATAAATATGTATATACGATAATTATTAAATATTACGTTAGTTAGTCCTTTATTGGATTGTTCTGGTCCCTATAGCCGTTAATTTTTGTCTATTATTTCATATATCGAATTATTACTGGGTAAAATAATTGAATGTAATTTATGTTTTGTAATTATCAAATTCCGCAATAGACAAAACAACCGTTTTCCTATGTAGGTACCTAATTTTTGGCGCAGTCCTCGTAGGATAGCTTCACTTACGTGCATGCACAAAAACACGAGCTAATGTGTGTACCGTATTAATAATAAAAACATTGTTAGTGAACAATTTAATAATGTACAAGAACAAATACAATTAAATATTAATCCCCATTAAATTTTGAGTAGACGACCGAGAGGGCGAGGGCAGCAGGGATGACGTCAGGCGAGCCGCGATGTAAAAAGTGACATCAGGGACCCTGTTCCACTATATAGTAGCTAAAGGGGTGTTTCTTTGAAGCTTTAGAGCCGAGTGAATTTTTAACCTCCTTGAATTGTTAAAGAAAAAAGGTTTTTTTCCTTTTTTCATGAATTTTTTATGGGGCGACATGCCGCTGCGAGCCTCTGTGTGAGCCTTATTTTCGTGTTAATATTAAAAGCTGCCAATTGCTGGCATTGCCGTCTGATGGTAGTAGGTTTACGCGAGTCAGTCAACAAAGGCGCCGGAAATAAAACTTGCATGAGCTAATTTCAGGGAGGCTTTTATTATATTTTGTATTAGCACAAAAGGTCGCGTGAAAAAATAATGTACCTATAGTGTAAAAGCTTTATTTATCAAGAAATTATCCAGCATATTTTGTCAACCCAATTTACAAAGCTTTGTTCCAGTACACAGTATAGCCTATAATTAAAAATTTAGATGGCGTTAAGATCAAGATTCGCTCTTAAAAATTTAATGTTTAATTTCTCAAGAAAATCTAGGAAATTATAGCAAAAGAATTGTTCGAATATATAATCAACAATAATATCTTAGTACAAGGATGTCCTCTTTCAGATAATTCCTTAGGTGAGTTCAGATCAAACCTGCCAAAATGCTGTTAGTATTGCCTGTTGTCCGATGATGATGGTAGCAAGTTGCAACATTGTAGAATAGCACAAGTATGGCTTACTGCATGCTCTCCGTTTCCAAAACACCTTCGCTTGATTTGATATCTACGTCCTTGTAGTCCAAAGTTGAAAAAAGCTCTTCAGTAGAATTTGAATTCAGAAGCAAGTTGTCAAAAACCTGCATCCAGGTGCATCCAATGACTACTGTTAGTACTGCCTGTTGTCCGATGATGATGGTAGCAAGTTGCAACATTGTAGAATAGCACAAGTGGTTTACTGCATGCTCTCCGTTTCCAAAACACCTTCGCTTGATTTGATATCTACGTCCTTGTAGTCCAAAGTTGAAAAAAGCTCATCAGTAGAATTTGAATTCAGAAGCAAGTTGTCAAAAACCTGCTTCCAGGTGCATCCAATGACTGGTCACAAGCCAGCATTTCCATGTTACTGATGTATTGGAAGTCAACATTGGTTGAAAGATTTCGATCTTAATATTTTGGTAGAAGCTGTTACTTTTCAAAGGAAGGACACCGCAGCCGGATACGTCACTCAACATCTTCCGTTTGGTCACCTGAGAATGATAGTTTTTCTTCTAAATATCAATATTCCTCGATGACGACAATGAAATTCAATTGGGACTGAACGTCTTCTCTGTTTCACAGTTTGCTTCATATTTATTTTTAGACCTTAAGCACCAGTAGGCTCATCATTCACCACATACCTAAATACCCTCAGTGTAAAAGCTCAAGTGAGTCTTCCACACTGAAAAAAACAGCTCCCCTCAAGGTATTCATATCAGTGATCTTGAAATAAATTATCTTATGTGAAGAGTTAATCTACTGCATGAAGAAAAATTACTTTGTTCTGAGAATTTCGTGGTTCTTGATATTTTGTAAAATTACTCTTGAATGGCATTTCATTCAGGCGAAATTATAGTCTACCAAGAATAATGTTTTATTGCATAATTGTTAAGCTCCTTGTTATTTAGGCCAAGAATCTGGATTTTTTATGGAATATTCCAAAATCTTATTCAAAATTCAAGTTTCTGCCGATGCCCTCCCGACTCCAACCCAGTTGTGTAGTGTCTAGCAGTATAGTGTATCTATCGTACTATTCGTACTGCCTGCGACCTGCGATTAGTTAAATCGGAGATTGCAGTTTTTTTTTTTTTTTTTTCAACTTTTATCGAACAGTTACATCCCATTTCCTATGGTGTTCCCAGGATATCAGTGCATCAGGGGACCAAAATTATCTTTGGAAAAGTTTGAAAATATATAATGTAAATTTCACAAGCAATATATTGTTTGCCCAGCGGATCTGAGTCTACGGAAGGAATTCGGACGTAAATGTGCCATGTTGTCACGTTTAATTATAGAACAGCGAAAATACTTGGCATGAAGTATAGTTCATTTGAAAATCCATTTTTTAATAACAAAATATTGATAACAATAATAAAATGCTAAATATTTTAACGTGGCTGTTGGATCTATTCTTGTTTTAATCCTGATTTCTTCAATTTGGTTTATTGTAAAAAATAAACATTTTCTAAAGATACCATCAGCTTTTGACAATCTGGCAAGCATCCGGCCTAGATGGACCTGATTGGTGAAGTTTTTGGCAGGATCGCCGTTGCCATGGGAAACGATACGGTTGTCAATGAGCTAACGTCACCTAACATCTCGCTATTGGCCAGGGCTTACGTCATTTTATCCTCCCATCTTGGAATATCGATTTATATTGAAATATCCAGTGGCGGAGGTTTGGTCATTGTCGATTTTCGTGTACGAGTTGCAATACGATAACACTTCCAAAAAGTTGCCGTGATGACCTCTAGTGAAAAAATTGAGATCTTCAGCTAAGTACTTTGGATCAATATGGTGAATTCTGCATCCATGTCATACGCTACGACACAAGCGTAGCAATAAGGCGAATCTTTGAGGCCATACCAACAGAGGCAAAGAAAGACCAAACCTGAGAGATCCGAAAACGCTGAAAAAATTGGGTGCAGCTAACTCGGAGGCAAGAGACCGGAGAGAATGGCGGAGGAGGCTGGAGAAAGTTGAGGCACCCCTGTAAGGCTAATGACGATGATGATGATGATGAATTCTGCATCGCAAAAAGTCTTTCCCCATTACTTGATTTAGTCGGTATGAATAATTATTGAAAGTTTACGGGCAATTTTTGGCTCGAGACGTACTTATCCGGACAATATGTTTGCTGACGCAAACTCTGTATTCCTAGATTATGTCCCGAATCGTATTTGACCCGAAACGAATTTGTCCCGACCCGACCGCAGAAATTTCGACAAATAAGTATATTGAGTGATCAAATCATCGAAATGTGAGTTGAGTTAAATATGTTTTCCATCCATCCAATCAGTAGTAGTTAAAACGAAAACAAATTTCAAAACTGTAACATAAACAAAATCCAATAATATGGAAAAATATTGTTTCCTTTCCACAATAGCTATGATTGTACCTACATAGAACAATGTCAGGTTATTTACCGTGGACAACTTTTTCATTGCAATTTCGCTTGCGGTAGAAGTCACTAATTGTTTATCGTTTTTCAAATATGTATCCCAAAATTGGAAATATATTGTCACATTGGACGATTGCCATTTTGAGTTGATACATGATGACACACACATTGATTGGACGACTCTTTATAGTTGTCTCAACCGTATTATGATTGTACCAACTTAACAATATTTCTATACAACTTGTTTGACCAGCACTGTATTGACTTAACCAGACACGCGCGATTCGCTTATAATGGAGGAAAAACCTATAGTCGGAAGGGGG